TATTCATTCTTTAAAACTCAGCCCAATGTCACCTCCTCTTTAAAGGCCCTACTGGAACCATCTTTCCTAAATCAAATGATAGTGAATTTTATAATTTCTAACACTAGTACGTACGCATAGTGGGAACTCTTTAAATATTTCAGTTATATTTTATAATCTTTTCCCCTCACATTGATAAGAAATGTACCGGACCTGAGATCCTGATATTCTCACGTAAATGGAACTTTGTCCTCTTATTCATTCAAAATATATTTATTAAATGCCTACTATGTACCAAGTAACACATTACAGTGCAGAAGTGTGTAAAACCAAGTGTTTTCTGGCATCTAGATTATATAGTCTGTGAAGTAGACAGGCAAAAACAAATGGGTTGTGTCAGATTTGAGGGAGTGAAGCGAAGCAGGGCAAGGGGCGGAGGGGACGGGCACCGCTGCGTTGAGCTCACGCAGGGCCGGCCTCTCTGAGGAGCTGATACTTGCAGAGATCTAAATAAAGGGAAGAGGAGCCCTACAAGTATCTAGGTCGGAGAAGAGACTTCCAACAGCAAACGCAAAGGCTTAGAGGTGACTCTGCTGCCCAAATGAAAAAGTCCATGATGCTGAAACCCATGGAGTTCTTCACAGCTGCTTAATAGCTGGAAGGTCGGTCCAATCCTCGGGGAGGGAGCTGCACAGTAAAGAGCTCTAACTTGCCGAAGTGGAGGCCTCACTTGCTGAAGATGAATGCTTTTACCATCTCTCCTTCTACTTTTTCCTGTTCAGAATTGAGCTTTTTTTTAAGCCCAGATTTCACCTGATACAAATGCTAAGAGTTCATATTTGTTGGCATCCCCCCTTAGAGGCTCTTGAGTCTATCAAAGCTATTAATTGATAAACTGTGGCTTGTTTAGCCATGGAAGAATGGGTGGACTTGATCCTCCTTCACTGCTGTATCCCCACTACCCAGAACAGGGCCTGGCACATAGTAGGTGAACATATTATTTGAAAGACTTAAATAACTTAAAGCATAATAATGAGGATTAAGAACAGCAAAAACATCATATAATATGTGAATTTCCAGACATGCTCTGAACCTTTATATCTTTAGGAAGCCAATAAAAATAATCCTTAAAATGTAGTAATGTTTAGGACTCACTTATAGATGCAAAATTAAGATTGTCAGAATCTTTTCAGATTTGAGGGTATAGGAATGGAATTTCTAATATTACCAATTGCACCAAAGAATCCTAAGAATAAATATATTTTAAACATATATTTCTTGACTTGAAAACAGTTTAAATCCTTTTTGGATACAATGCCTCATGAAAACCACCACCACTAACTTCATTTTGAACAATTGTATTTAGCTTTCATTCTGTATATTAATAATTTCTTGACTTACATGAAATATTTTTCCCTGACAGGTTGCTTTCTGCCATGGAGAGCACTGCTTCTTTAGAGAAAATGCCTGCTGCATTTTCACTCTTTGAACATTATGATGACAGCTCGGCGAGAAGTGACCAGATGTTAAAACAAGTGGCTGGTAGGAGTTTTAATATATTAATTACCTTGATGAAATTTGGCAGTTTTTCCTTGTTTGTTTCATAAAGTTTGTGAATGTAGGGAAATATAACTGGAAAAAGGGAAATCTTAAGTTGTAAAAATTTAAAGCTAGGTCTTGAAATAAAGCCTGAGACTACCATTTCAGTGCTAACCTGCATTTCGCTTTGAAGCCTTATGGCTGTGCTGGGATATTGAGGAGGTAGAAGGATATCGCAATGGAACCCAAAGCTCTCCTCTTATCTTCCTTTGTCAAGTAGGATTTCTCTCCCTCTCCTCTAAAGATTATTTGGTTCATGCCAGCAGCCAGGTATAGAAGGAAAAAATAAATCAAATATTTTCATACGTATTGAACAGATTTTTCCTTATGAGTGGTTTCCCCCTCTTCAATGGAGTCTTTTTTCCTTTTTTCAAACTAAACAGATTAGCTTAGAGAACTAACAGCTCAGCATCATGCTCTGTATGTCGCCAGGAGCCTCCCACTCAGCTGTCAGAAGCATCTCGCCGGCTCTTCAAAATATTTTTTTAATTTGCTATTTTAACAAACAAGACAATGAAACTTATTTAAATTTCTCAAAGCTGCTGTGTTTCAGTCAAGTTACCAAATTTCACTTACTGTGAAATGTACTCAGATATCCTCCTTCAAAGAGGCTATGTTCTTTTAAAACCAACTTAAAGACAGTTGCTGTTTTTAAATTGACCAATTTTCATTTCGTTTCTGTAGGAAGAGTTTTAGTTTAGTCACTAGTAAAAGGCTACAACTGTGTCTTTAAAAAGACCCAAAACCCCACCAACCCTGTATAAAGTGAAAAAATTCAGTCATTTATCCTGATGGATTTTCTCTAGAAATATCTCAAACCAAAAGGGTGTTTTCTTATAATATCTTTAAGAGGCATTTCAATAGAGCAGTGATTGCAAACTAAGAAATTCTGATGAACAGAGTAGATCTTTTGCTTTTAAGGGATTCATTACATGCTGTTGTTCATTTTGAAGAATATTCTTTGAATACCTGATGGGCCATGAGAGGACATTTTATATATTTGAGAGATCACAGAGTTAACTTATCACTAACTGTTAATGATTCATCCAGAAATAGTGACTCTGACAGTCCCAGTTGTTCCAAGCCGTTGTGGGGAAAATGATCTCTGAGACAGAAATGCTGTGAGTTGCGTGTCTGCTTCACAGAATGGGAGCCCAGGATGTTGACTTGTTGCCAAATAGTTTTTGTTCATTTTGTGATCAATGATACATCTCAGATATCAAGTCCTTACCCGGTACCTGAAAAGTTAATCCAATTAACTTCCTAAGCTAAACAGATGTAATGAGGAAAGGTGGTGATTTTTTTTCACTAACATTTATCCTACACTTACATGATGCCTGGCACTGTGGAGACTGTTAAGCAGATCCTATCATCTAATCTCACAACAACCCTAGGAGGTAGGTGTTATTGTTATTCCCATTAGACAGGTGAGGAAACCAGAGGAAACAGAAAAATGTCACTCATAATGCCCTAGATACACAGCTGTTTGCAGTAGGTGTAGTGGAGGGGTTTGGCTTCAGAGTCTTTGCACTTGAACCACTGTTCCACACCAAAGAGGTGGAGCACATTGCTGTGAAAGAAGCAATAACCATGGCTTAACGACAACCAAGGCTTCCTGGACACTGGCTTCTAGGGGCTTTTTAAAAAAAAAAGTTCTGTGGTAAAATACACAGAACATGAAATTTATCTTTTAAATCATTTTGAAGTATACAGGTCAATGGTATTAAGTATATTCACATTGTTGTACAGCCTCCACCACCATCTCCAGGACTCTTTTCATCTTGCATAACTGAAACTCTGTACTTATTAAATACTAACTCCCCATTTGCACTGCCCCTGGCAACTACCATTCTACTTTCTGTCTCTATGATTTTAATGGCTCCAGGTACCTCATTTAAGTAGAATCATAACGTATTTGTCTTTTGTGACTGGCTTATTTCATTTAGCATAATGTGCTCAAGGTTTTTTCACCTTGTAGCATGTGTTATAATTTCCTTCCTTTTTAAGGCTGAATAATATTCCATTGTAGGTCTATACTGCATTTTGCTTATCCATTAGATGTACTCATCAATGTACACTTGGGTTCCTTCTGCCTTTTGGCTACAATGAATAATGCTGCTCTCCTGGGGGCTTTTTTGAGTGAGAATCTATATCCGGGCACAGGTTCTGAAGTCCAAGTTGATCTAATGCTTATGTCCTTGAGTGTGACAGCTCTTTAAGGTCATACTTCATCACAGAGGGAACCCATACTTCATCCTCTGCTCAATTCCTTAGCCTCTGGCAAAGAAGCCTTAAAATCCCATTTTGTCATTTTTGGCATTACTCCTATTCAAGTTTATTACTGCAGAAGTATAAACAGAGTTGGTAATATAAAATCTAGGTCTCTGATGTTCATCTATCACAGAAATTGTAAACCCAGTCATCGTAATTAGATTACGTCTATGAAATATTCTTATTCCCATTTTAATTTTAGAATCCTTTGAAAAGTAAGAGTGTTTCCTGTTTTTGAAAAAAGATGTTCTAACTTTAATGTTCCTGGGGGAAGGAGCATGTTAAGTGCAAAATTACTTCTAGCCTACGTGCTTTGCTTAATTTCCTACAACTGCATCTTTCTTAAAATTTGGTGACCTGGGGAGGGGTGGTCAATTAGTAGTTTTTAAATGGGTTAAGCTACCGAAGAGAGAGATTTTTGAAAAGATGTTACCATTTTTAAAAAGCAGATACCACTCAATGTATAATTCATAGGAAAAACTGGGGAGCATTTTCATCAGTCATGCCTCAAGGAGTTCTCCAATGCTGCTTCAGACGATTGGCAGTAGTTGAAGCGTTCTTCTTGGCTCTTCCATAAACCTGGGCAACGTGAAATTTTACTGCACTGCATTCATCTGATGGACTCCTTTAGAACGTGACACTGATATCCTGCTGGAAAGACAAACAGTGAAGTCAAAGATAGCATAAGGATCTCTGAACTATCATCGGCCCTTGGGGAGGTGCTCTGACAGGCAGGCTTCCTGCTTCACCATGCAGCCTGCTCAGCATGCCTTACCTTTGTAGTCCTCTGTGACTTACCAGGTGGTGGATTCCTAGTTCAACCCCCATCATAAGGGTCTTCTTGCCTTTTCCACTCCATTTTCTGTGCCCTTGCCAGGACCATTTTGCCTTCTAAATGTTAGTACTTGTTATGTGTCAGACACGTTGCTAAGAACTTAATATACATTATCTTGCTTCTTACAACAACCCTGGGATGAAATGGCATTATTGTTATTGTTGTTTTCTCAATTTAAAGGTGGGGAAACTGAGGCTAAGATCACACAGTTAATAAGTGGGGGATCTGGCCTTTAACCTAAGGCCAGCCTCTCTGCTCTGAAGCCCATAAACTTAGCCACTCTCTTATCCTGCTTCTCATTTTTCATACCTGTGTATTTCTTTATCTCTTTATCTCTTTATTGAATCATTCAATTAGTCTCTTTTTATTTCATTCTTTAGACCCATTTATTTTTCTCATTTTTAACTCCGTGTTGAATGAAACTTGTTTTCTTTTCATTCAGTATTGACTTTTAATAAAGTAATCTCATAAATTTGGCCCATATGATTTCACTAGTAAGTTTATCTCTCAGGAAATTGTTGACTGGAAAAAAAACAAAACACAAAAATAAATTTAAAAGCATGACATCTTTTTAACTATGGGAATAACATTTTCCTCTAATTTGTGAAATATGTTTAATGCTTTTGTATCCCCAAAGTTTGGAGGAGAATTGCATAAGACCTTGATTTATAGTGTTGTATATACCATTAATGTTCAATTTGCATAATTACAGACTTTTAAAATCTCTAGTAAAACACTTGAGAATATTGTTGTCTTTAAAATTCAGAACAATAGAGTTTTTCTAGATAGTTAAACCTTATATGTGAATGAGTTAATAGGGTACGTTTTTCCCTTATGAAATTTTTATATTTTAACTTAAAAAAAAACCACCAACAACTTTGTGAGTATAGTCATGTTGGAAAGAGCAAATGGGATAGTAGTTTCAGAAAGTGTATTTTGATGTTTTATTTATGCAAGTCTTTTTTAGCCTTGATGATATATTGGGTTGTCGGAAAAGTCATGATGCATTTTTGCAACAAAAAACATAGAAACAATACGTCATGACTTTTCCAACAACCCAATAGCAACTATAGTTTAAAATGTTTCATTTGTCACTTTTGTGAATGTAGACTCTATACTGACTTAGAAGGATACAGCACTGGTTATTTGGCAAAGCATAGTCCAGTTTTTGCTTTGAAGGAAAAACAAATCATTTGATGCCTCCTTTACACTGTATAAGTTAATTTCTCTAAATATAGGATTACAGAAGAATGTTAGCAAGTGATCCCATGTGGAGATCCATTTTTGATTATTTCTATGTGTGTTATATGTGCATATATACCAATACACAGAAAATACTTTGGAGGGAGACACACTCAGCTGTATAGTGGTTGCCTCCAAGGAAGAGCCTTGGGGTTAGGGATGGGGAGCTGTTGGGAACAAGGAAAGCCTGCCAGTTTTACTCCATGTATTTCTGTAGTGTTTGAATTTTTTTCAACAAGTATAAGTGACCTTTTGTAAAAAGAAAAAAAAATCAATCAATAAAAACAGTCTTAGTTATAATAATTCTTGCTTATATTCCAGTTCCACAGCCTCCGAGGTTAGAACTTCAGGAACCAAATTCTGCCACTAGCACAACAATTGCAGTTTACTGGAGCATAAACAAGGAAGATGTCATTGACTCATTCCAGGTTTACTGCATGGAGGAGCCACAAGATGACCAAGAGCTAAACGGTAGGATTGCTAACACAAATACAGGTGCATGTGTACATTTCTGTATCTTAATGTGAAGTATTTAAACATATGCATTTCATGATGCTTTCCACAAAGCATTTATAGCCAGTTATAAAAACAACAACAAGCCGGCAACCATATGATGAAATAACCTATAAGCAAAATTTTGAAATCATGTTCAAGGGTATAAAAAATGTATGTAAATCATGATGGTCAACATGAACATTGTAACTGAGATTCAAATTTGACTTTGAGCTCTCGGAATAACAGAAACAATTAAGTGATTCTCATTGTCAGAAAGGAGGTAACATGTCAGAAGTTCAGGGAGCACAAAGTTTCAATCAGTACTAAAGACTAAAAGATGTGCCACTTTGTCACTTTGTAGAGGAGAAATGAGCTATGTATGTGACAGTGTCCTCCACAATAATTTTAATGCAAATGTAGCATTGGATTGGCATTTTTTTCAGATCTACCTTTGATAAAAGCTATAAACAAACTATAAAGGTTAATTCAGAGTTTACACGTCTCAAGACATGGGTCTAGATATAGTGTAGTTTTCTGGTGTCCCAAATGAATGCATGAATAGAGGTGAAAGTGCTTATTAGGGTGAGTGGATGACATGTCTTACAGTTGAGCCTCTGTAAATATCTCTCTGTTCAGTAGGACTTCTAATACAATCTAGAAGCCAGGCTGTTTATGGCTGTACTTCCTGGTGAATCAGAGATTAGAGTGCAGGCATTTTCTGTTGAAAACAGACCCATATATTTTAGAAACGAGGTGAGCATGTGACAGGATTGACACATCACAGGAGCCCAATTTTTAATAAGGAATTCATTATATTTCACTGTTACCAATATTTAAGCCTTTTGAGATGTTATGTGATTCTTATTTAAATTAGGAAAAAAGTAAGACAAGCAACCATAGGCATAGTGTAAAGTTGGTTAAGTTTGCCCATAAGAATTCCTATTTTCTTGGGAACCTATTACCATATAGCTGTCACACTGCAACAAGGAAAGTGCTATTATCCCCATTTGCAAATGAGAAAGTCATGTGAGGTTAAATAATTTGCCCAAGGCCACACAACTTACACATGACAGGGGCTGGATTCAAACACAGATCTTTCAGACTGCAAAGCTTATTTTTTGTTTGCTTGACTCTGTGTTTATTTTGTTATACAGTAGTCCCCCCTTCCCCGAGGTTTCACTCTCTGAGGTTTCAGTTACCCACAGTGAACCTCAGTCTGAAAATATTAGATGGGAAATTCCAGAAATAAACAACTCATAAGTTTTAGATTGTATACCATTCTGAATAGTGTGATGTAGCCTTGCACTATTTCACTCTTTCCTGCCTGGGATGTGAATCATCCCTTTGTCCAACGTATCCACATAGTAGCTGCCATCTTGGTTATTAGATTGACTGTGCTGGTATCACAATACTTGTTTCCAAGAATCCCTTATTTTACTTAAAAAAGGCCCCAAAGTGCAAGAGTAGTTATGCTGGCAATTCAGATATGGCAAAG